TGGCCCTGGTTGACCGCCGAGTAGGCAGAGAGGAAGTCAAGGTAGCGCGTGCCGTCCACGTCCCACACGTGGACGCCCTGCCCGCGCTCGAGGACCACTGGCAGCGGCGCATAGTTGTGTGCGCCGTGCCGCTCCTCGAGGCCGATGAGCCTCGCCGCGGCAGCGGAGGACGTGGAGGAGGCGCGGCGCGAGCGCAGCAGGCTCGGCAAGAGCGGAGCTCTTGAGCGGAGCATCGTCCGAAGAGTGGTCGGCACAGCGATCACGGAGAGCTCCGCCGACGAGCTGTGCGTTGTGCGTTGTGCAAGAATTCTTGATTCAAGCCTCTCTCACAGCACACTGGCACGACAAGGGCGCGGACTGGCGCGGACGAGAAATTTAGGTACGAGGACGCCTCAAAAGTCAGGAGCAGGAAAGCCCACCTGTCCCCCTGATCGTCCTTCCAAAATCCTGCTCGTGCAGGTGTGGACCCTGTCCTCCTCCCCTATCCTCGTTTGTGGCTTGTCTGCTTTCTTTCTTTCTTTCTTTCAAAAGTGATGCGGGACGCGGTACGAACTAGAACATGCATGTACACAGCGAGAAGGGAGGCGGCAGAGGACACAGAGAAGAGGGAGATAGTGGACCGACGGACGTACGGGCACATGTGAGATTTTTAGCAATACCTTAAAGAGAGGTTACAGGCGTGAATACCAAACAACTCTAACACTCATTTGGGGCTTTGTTTTGTTGTTGCACATGAGTCAGAGCGCGCACGAGGGGGTGTGCGGACAATTTCGAAAGACGGTGAGGCCGGGATCGCACACGGCAGGGGTGGCGGGACGGCTGTGGAGCGAAGTGGCCGTAGCCAGCCTCAAACACCCATGGGACAATAAGATGAGATTTGTGAGTGAGAATGGGGGGAAGGACAGGCGAGCGACATTTGACGACGTAGGGGCCATCGCAATGTGACGACCAAAACGACCTTGGGGGCCAGGGCGAGACAACAGGTCGGGGTGCCACACGGGGCACACCACAGGCGTATTCTAGAGGGGGAAAAGAAACGGGGAATGAGGGGCCCCGCCACGAGGAGTGCGTTATGGGGATGCAGAGCGTGCAAGGCGGCTAGGGATGAGGCCGCAAAAGAGGCGCGCGAGACCAAGGACCAGAAATAGGAGAAAGGCCTGGATGCCAATCTGGGGTCTCTCGACCG